CGTCGACCATCTTCCAGCGGCCGACGGGGAGCCCGGGTAGGGAGCAGGGCCTGGGGGGAGGATGGGGCGCAGCTCTTTGGGGTCGGTGCTTGAGGAGGGAGGTGATGTTGGGGGGGGAGTCCAGCCAGGGCAGGGGCTGAGCTGTGCATCCCAGGGGTTGCAGGAGGGGGGGAAAAGGAGCCAGGATGAGTGAGGGAAACCAGGCTGGAGATGCCGATGAGGGTCGAGGGGCGTCGGGGGAGGCGTTGAAGGGGCGGTGGGGCCACAGCAATGCTCCGTGGCGAGCTGATGCTGAGGCAGCCTGGGTGTGCCGCAGCCCCCCCACACCTGCAGTACCTGCTGGAGCCCCTCCACGCCGCGGTGCACACGCAGCGGGGTGCCACGGCCACCCTGCCCTGCGTCCTGCGCGCCCTGCCCCGCAACTACCGGGTGAAGTGGAGCAAAGTGGAGCCGGCCAACTACCGGGAGAGCATCATCATCATCACCAACGGGCTGTACCACAAGAACTACGGGCCGCTGAGTCCTCGGGTGCGCCTGCGGCACAGTCACCGCTACGACGCCTCGCTCACCATCACCGATGTGGCTCTGGAGGACGAGGGACGCTACCGCTGCCAGCTCGTCAATGGGCTGGAGGACGAGAGCGTCTCGCTCACGCTGCACCTTGAAGGTGAGGCTGGGCTCCCTCCTGCCGCATCCCCTGGGGATCTGGGGGAGAGCAGAGAGGGGACCCCGGACTGGACTGGGGGTCTATGGCTGGGTGCCTCCAGCCCTCGTGTCCTCTGTTGCAATGCCCCGTGCCCCAGCCTTATCTTCAGCACTGAATCCCCGGGGATGATAAGCCAAAGCCTGCCCGGGGAGAGCATCTCCTTCACCCTCCGTCCCTGTCCCTGTCTCCCCAGGCATCGTCTTCCCCTACCAGCCCAGCAACGGGCGCTACAAATTCAACTACCATGAAGCCAAGCAAGCCTGCGAGCAGCAGGACTCCCGCCTCGCCACCTACCAGCAGCTCTACAAAGGTGAAGCATCCAAAAAAAACCCCTCGTCCGCCCCAAAATGTGCCTCGCTGGGCACAGGAGTGGGGAGGAGGGAAGTGCCGATGCTGAGCTGCCTCTTGCCCCGCAGCCTGGATGGAGGGTCTGGACTGGTGCAACGCTGGCTGGATCCTTGACGGGACTGTCCACTACCCCATCATCAACTCACGGGAGCCGTGCGGCGGCCGCCTCCTCCTGCCAGGTGTCCGGACCTACGGGGCCAGGGACAAGCAGAAGGACCGATTCGATGCTTTCTGCTTCACCTCTGCTCTTCAAGGTAGTGCTGGGGTCCCCTGTCCCTCCCACAGTGGCACCGAACCCCGATGCCCACCCGGATTTGCATCAAGGGCTGGGGTTGTTCCCAGGAGGTCATCTGTGGTGGCCACTCACCCGCCATGTCCCCATCCATCCCCAGGCCAGGTCTACTTTATCAGGGGTCACCTGAACTTCAAGGAGGCCGGGCAAGCGTGCCGCAACCACGGGGCTGCCATCGCCAAAGTGGGGCAGCTTTACTCTGCCTGGAAGTTTTCCCAGCTGGATCGCTGCGACGGGGGGTGGCTGGCGGATGGCAGCGTGCGGTACCCCATCACCACCCCCCGCGAGCGCTGTGGGGGGCTGCCGGACCCCGGCGTCCGCAGCTTCGGCTTTCCCAGCAAGGAGCTGCGGACCTATGGCACCTACTGCTTCGCGGAGAAGTAGGAACGCTGGGAGGAGAGGTGGGCTGAGCGGAGGGGACGGTGGTGGGACACCGGCCCTCGTCACTCAGGCGGAGAGCAGGGAGTGAGGGGGGGGGGGGTGTCTCCCGGTGATTTCAGGTGGTTTGTGCATCCTCCAATGGAGTGATAGAGCTGGGTTTGGGTGCTCGGTGCATCCTCTGATGGAGCTGCTCTCCACGCCCCAGCCTGTTTTGGGGCTTGTTGGGTGTTCAGGGCTTGCTGGAGAAGCCAGACCCATTGCTGGGCCAGGAAGAGAGTCTAATCCAGCCCCCCCAGCAGGCAGCACAGGCTCCCCATTCCCCAACCCTGGTGCGTCTCTCGCCCCATCCTCGCTCCCCGCAGACATGAGGACTCTGGCTGGTGCAAGCGCGCTGGAGGACCGGGCATTAACGAGTGTGACTAATGGAGTTTCGCCTTCTCAATTAATAAAGCGACGGTAAAGCTGCACGGCAAAGCCATGCTCTCGCCTGGCCTCTGCCCCCCGGGACTGTCTGCCCTCTCGACGAGGGGAATTTGCCAAGGACTTTCCATCTCAAGCAGGGGGGGCAGACAGTGTGGAGCCCCCACGGCCGCCCTGTCCTGAGGGTTATCGGTGTCCCTGGCACCGCACACTGGGGGTTTCTGAGTTTTGCTGTTTAACACGGCCAGGGAGAGCTATAAAAAGCACCAGAGCTGGCATGCCGCAGGGGGAAAAACAGCGTGGGGAGATGCCAGCATCCCCCAGCACCTGCGATGTGGCCCCCAGGTCCCACGTGTTTGCCAGGAGCAGCATCCCAGCCCGAGCTCTGACTGGTCCCCAGTGCCGCTGGGATGCGGGGGCACTTTGGGCTGTGCCTCCCTGTTTCTGTGGTCCCTGGGGAAGTCGCTGTGCCCAGGCTGTGCCAGGGGCTCTCCAGCTCCACGGCGCTGATGGGTGCTGCCACGCTCCCCATTTTGGGGCTGTGCAGCCCTGCCTTTCCCACCCCTGTGCTGGGGCTGCCCCAAATGACCAGGCCACCACTCTGCGCCATCCATTTACTGGTTTTAATACCCACAGAAGCACAGAGGGGGGGGGGGGTGGGCCGATGT